TAATGGAAACTCTGCAGTTGTGAAACTGTGTTTTTCGACATTAACAGAATATCGACAAAGTTTTGCGCACATTTGCAATGGAAACACAGCTAATGTCTGCTTGTAGTTTATTTTACCTGGGCCAATCAGCAAACAGAAGGCAGAGTTTTGAACGACGTCAATTTTCTGCGCAGTGTCTGCTAGTTATTTTAGCATACCATAAGTGAATGAAGCCAGTCCGTGTTGATAAAGCTTCCAAATTAAATTAAATTTGTCTGACAAAACAGCAGCTCTCATTTACAGTCGTCTCTTTCAGCTCAGTATATTTCTCCTCTCAGTAGGGTTCTTTACAGCACAGACAATTTCCAGTTAGCTTCACACACACACTTCAGCAGAGGCCACGCCTCCAGCAAGAATTGCTTCTCTATAGCCGCGAGTCCAGACCCTCGTACAAAGCAAAGTGAAGGACAGGGTCTGGTTTTTACCAGGCTAATATTAGACATGCTCCTTCAGGCATTTCAGACTGGGAGGAGACCCCAGGACATAATGTATGACTCTCAGCTGGTCTGGGAACACCTTGGAGTCCTCCCAGAAAAGTTGGAAGAGGAAAGAAAAGTCTGGACCTCCCTTATCTCCTCTGAGACCTGACTAACAAATGAAAGAGTCTTACTGTGTGTGAGGCTGACAGGATGTTGATGATCCATCAGAAAATGTTCCACTGCTGCAGTCAGAACATTCAGCGTCTGAGGAGGARCTTCCTGCAGGAACAGGAAACTCAGTCAGCATCAGGAGGGAAATGTGATAAAATGAAAATGAACATTAAAACATTTTATGCAAATTCCTAATTTTGAAGAGCTACCTGGCTCTGAAGACCTGATGTGTCTGAAATACTCGCGCTGTGATGAAGGTTCAGTGAACACCGAGGTACTGTACATTTTGCATTAATATCCATAATGTTCTGACATAAAAAACCAACAAACCAACCTGTTCTGCTGATGTACTGTCCTGATTCACAGGTTCTGTGTTCATTTGCTGAAGAACAGCTGCCTGATGTGAATTCTGTACAGAAAAATCCTTCCAGAGCTTCACAAACTGTGTCTGATGTTGGAGAACATCTCTGCTTTACCTTCAGACCAGAACCTGTCAACACACACACAGGTTACATACACATACACAGGTTACACACAAATATATACAGATACACAACTTTTACTCATTATAATGCTGTAGTCAAGCATTATTTTTTTCTCATTTTTTATTGAAAAGTAATAAAACATCCATTTATGTATGAATTTATTTGCAGATATTTGAGTTAGTGTTAATAAAAACTCTGCAGGGAACAATTTTATTTTAATTTGATATAAAATGTGAAAAGATCTTATAGAAGCCCACCTGGATCACAGATTGTACATGTAAGACAGTGTTTTTTTCCATTAGGTCTGTCCAAATAAGTTCCTTCTTCACACGGCATACAAGAAGTACTTCTGAATTCTGTACAATCTGTCTTTACTCTACTTCCTGTTGGAAAACAAAACAGTTTTTTAATTTATAGCGTTCTAATTAATATGCATTGTATTGTAATTAATATTGCAGTTAAGATGTATTTAAAGTCTTTATTTAGCTGAAGCCAAATGAGCAGGTGTGCAGCAGAAAGATGTGTCAACAACTGAACAAAAACCACAAAATAACCAAAATAACCAGCCCTGCTATCATCACCTTTAGTTTACCAGATTAAAAGGCACAGTGTGTAGGATTTGTTGTTTTCTGCGAAATCTAGTGGTTGATTGGTTGAATTATCCTCCCTGGTCCTCCCCCCACCCCCACCCCCCGCTTCCAAACGCTACGGTGTCTCTCAGGTGTCAAAAACCTTTGATAATTCCAACCGCGATGTCTACCAGCAGCTTCAGGGCTAGTGATGTTTAAAGTGGTAAGATTATGAGCTTTAATAAGTAAAATTATACCAGCTATGTTTACATGCACAAAATGTGCATCGAGCTCAATCGGATCAGAATAATCGGAACGGGCTGTTTACATGACTTATTTTTATTCCGAACGGCTGTTTAATCC